AAGGCTGAGCCAGTGTGGGGTGTGCAGTGGATACTGTGAGGGGCAGCCTGGGGGCAGGGGCCTCGAGAATGTGAGAGGCTCAGGAACTGTGGAATCTGTGGGTGCCATGTGCAGCCATCTGTGGGTGCCGTGTGCAGCCATCTGTGGGTGCTGTGTGCAGCCATCTGTGGGTGCCGTGTGCAGCAATCTGTAGGTGCCATGTGCGGCAATCTGTGGGTGCTGTGTGCGGCATCTGTGGGTGCCGTGTGCAGCTGGGTGCCATGTGCGGCCATCTGTGGGTGCCGTGTGCGGCCATCTGTGGGTGCCGTGTGTGGCATGGTGCTGTGTGTAGTTAGGCACCACATGCTGAGCACACACACACATGGCCGTGCAGGGTCCCTATGTAGTTCTGGTGGAAAATGGGGAAGAAGTGAAAACTTACATCTCCAGCTGTTACATGTGTGGGTGTCTGTACCCAGAGGTGCACCTGAGTCTGTAGTTCACACATCTGTACATCTCCACGAATATCTCCATCTCTGTACCATCGGTGCAAAATGAAGCTATGCCATACAAAAAGAACATCATGTTTCACAAAAGGCAGAAGGGAAAACAAGTGTCCAGTGCATTCTACAGGGGGCAAGGTTGCTACAGAGCAAAGCATGAAACAAGAGAGGCCCGGGGGACCGGCGAGGGCGCTGGACCAGGCCCTCTGCGGCTCTAAAACCTGGCCAGTGGGATCAAAATACAGAAGCAGAAGTAAAAGGAAACTGAAGGGAGAGGCCTCAGGGCCTTTGTCAGCCAAGTCTGCAGGTGGTAGGGCCACAGGCCCCGCGGCCTGGTCCAGGGGCACCTGAACACGGTGCTGAGTTTTTTCTCAGGCTCCACAATCTCTTTGGGACCTGTGGTTGTCAGGCAACCAGGACCAGTCCTGGATGGGCGGCCGCCATTCATCTGAACAGGACATGTAAAGACATGCATAAGACTGGGAAAACACGTACATCGGCACAAAGCAATGTGTCTTCAAAGCAACGCTGCTGGCCATCTGCTGTATCGTACATCAACACCCAGCTCCCTGGCACCTGAGCCCTGAAGAGGCAGCGGAGCTGGCGGTGTCTGCTCTGTCAGTGCTGCTGGGCTTGTATGTGAGAGGCTCAGAGCCACGGGATGGATAATGGAGTCCTCTCGCTCCTCTCCACCCACAGCATAGTCGGTGCCCATACCCCCACAGTGCCCTTTGCCTGCCAAGGTGGAGCTGAGCTGCGTGGGGCTGCTGTTCTCAGTCCTTTCCAACATGGATGTTTTCTGAGACAACCCCTAGTTTTCCTGATGGCAGCTGTGTGGTCCTGTCTACTCCCCACTTGCTCCAACAATGGGGCCCTTTGTCCCTGTGGGGTTTGCTCTGCTCTACACGGCCAAGGGTCTGCCCATGAGAGGCCGCCTGACCCTCCTCTCCCAGTGTCCCCACACAGAGTGAGGGTTCACAGAGGAGGAGTCCTAGGGTGCTGACGAGCCTCACCCCGTCACAGGGCCCCTGGGCTGGTGGACAGGCAGAGAAGGGGCCAGGGAGCGGGCCCAGTCAGCGCCTTGGCCCATTCGTCCCGACTGCTCGGTGCCAGGCTGCGGAATGGCGACAGCTGTAGGCTTCTGGGCATCTTGGCTTCTAGCCCTCCCGAGGTTTGGGGAGCATTTTTTAATGCATCACTCCTCCCTCCCCCAAGGCTGGGTCTTCTTTTGCCTTTTCTTGCAGGTGCGCCTCTAGGATGCTCCGTCTGAGATGGGAGGGCGTCCACCCGCCCCGCCGGACGCCACGGGACTGGCCGTGCCGCCACCCTGGTGCCTGGTCACAACAGAGCCAATCGCACCTCTGGCTCCTGTTCAGTATCACTACTTGGCCCCTCCACAGTGACCTCTGAGCGATGCCCAGTGGAGGGCTGGGTGGCCAGTGTGTTAGGTGAACTTGAACTTCCAAGACAGGGCAGGGTGGCGCCAGGGGTCTGGAGTCACATGACACAGACATCCATGTATCACCTCCCCGTGCATCACCTCCCCGTGCTCCCTGCATCACCTCCCCGTGCATCACCTCCCCGTGCTCCCTGCATCACCTCCCCGTGCATCACCTCCCCGTGCTCCCTGCATCACCTCCCCATGCATCACCTCCCCGTGCTCCCTGCATCACCTCCCCGTGCTCCCTGCATCACCTCCCCGTGCTCCCTGCATCATCTCCCCGTGCTCCCTGCATCACCTCCCCGTGCTCCCTGCATCACCTCCCCATGCATCACCTCCCCGTGCTCCCTGCATCACCTCCCCGTGCTCCCTGCATCACCTCCCCATGCATCACCTCCCCGTGCTCCCTGCATCACCTCCCCGTGCTCCCTGCATCATCTCCCCGTGCTCCCTGCATCACCTCCCCGTGCATCACCTCCCCGTGCTCCCTGCATCACCTCCCCGTGCATCACCTCCCCGTGCTCCCTGCATCACCTCCCCGTGCTCCCTGCATCACCTCCCCGTGCTCCCTGCATCATCTCCCCGTGCTCCCTGCATCACCTCCCCGTGCTCCCTGCATCACCTCCCCGTGCTCCCTGCATCATCTCCCTGCATCACCTCCCCGTGCTCCCTGCATCATCTCCCTGCATCACCTCCCCGTGCTCCCTGCATCACCTCCCCGTGCATCACCTCCCCGTGCTCCCTGCATCACCTCCCCGTGCATCACCTCCCCGTGCTCCCTGCATCACCTCCCCGTGCTCCCTGCATCACCTCCCCGTGCTCCCTGCATCATCTCCCCCATGCTCCCTGCATCACCTCCCCGTGCTCCCTGCATCACCTCCCCGTGCTCTCTGCATCATCTCCCTGCATCACCTCCCCGTGCTCCCTGCATCACCTCCCCGTGCTCCCTGCATCATCTCCCCGTGCTCCCTGCATCACCTCCATTACTCTCCAGAAAATCCACCTTTATTCCTGCCATCATCTCCAGGGCACAGAAGTGAGAATGGAAGCAGGCGAGCGAGGCCTGAGGGCTGGGAGCTGGGAGGTCAGTGGGGAAGGGGCCCGGTGGCTCAGAGCCGGGAAGTCAGCAGGGAAGCCTCACCCAGGCAGGGGTTCTGCGTCTGGGAGCTTTGGCCACAGCTGGCGATGAGTCTGATAGTTAGGCTCGGGTGGGGAGCGAGGGCTACTGGCGTGTTGTGGGCTCAGGGCAGGGGCTGCCCAGCACTGGACAGCACCCCGGGCAGCGCCTGTGCACTGAAAAGACTCCTAGGATTCGAATGCCAACCGCGCTGGAAGCTGGCCTTGGCGGGGATGCTGTCCCCTTCCCTTGGGGCTGCGATCGCGGACTGGCTGGCGGCGGGTGCTCAGGGTCCTCTCCTGCCCTCGCTGTGCGCCGGTGCTTGTTCACCACTAGATGCCTGACGTGCACCTGAATGATAGCCTAGCGCTGTGTGTCTGGATGCTGGTCTCTGAGCTATCTGTGCTCCCCTTAAGAAAATCTCAAGGATGGGGTGGGGTGGGGGAAACAGCGAGCCCTAGGAGAGGCTGCACATCGCACGCCAACGTGTGGAAGCACACAGTTGCATTTAGCTTGGGAACCCAGAGCAGACAGAAGACCCGAGAAACCCCGCAGCCCCCGTCAAGCCCTGGTGGCAGCTAACTTTCCCTGTCCTTGGAGCTAACCCTGCCTGCGGAGACAGCACCGCCGAATCAACTACACGAGACCTTCAATTAACTCAAACAGATGGCCGGAATTTTCCAGGTGACTTCGCATATTAGTTCGGTGAGTTGGCTGCGCCAGGCCCCAGGAGGCTTGGCAGGGATGAGGCTGAGAGGAGACAGAGCTTCAGGAGAGAAAGCCCAGCACTAACTGGAGAAGTATCAGCAAAAATATCAGCCACAAGCAATGACCCCCCTCCTGCCCCCAGCCCCAGGCAGCGGGCGTCGGGCTGCCTGCCCCACGACGGGCCATTTGTGTCTGGTCCAGGGGCAGCCATCTGGGGGCCAAGTGCCTTGGCCTTTAGGGGAGACTTTGGCCTCCCTGGTTGGGGGGACCAGTCCAGAGCAAGGAAGGGAGAGGCCAACCCTCACAGAGCACCAGAGTTCAGTGCTTTGTCTGCCCCTGCAGGACCCTGGATTAGGCACTACTGAAGACGGAAGGTGGAAAGACCTCCAGCGAACTGCGCATGGCCCCGGCTCACGCGGCGGGGCTGGGCCGGGCGGCACAGGAAGCCTCGTGGGGAACATTATCCAGAGCACGGCCAAGCTTCTCTCCCTGCCCTAGAGCGGGCAGCCAGCCCAGCTGCAGTGCTTGGACTGGGTGTTTGCCGAGGCTCCGGCACGGCATGCCCAGACAAACTCAGTTGTAGAATTGCAGGGATCCGTGGGTGAGTGGCCCGTAGGCCACCGTAAGCCCCCCGCCCCCCCAGCATTCTCACAAAAGTGAGCTTGATGATGTGACTGGGCTCCAGAGGTATCATCATCCGCGTCCAGACTGCTGGGGCAAAGCTAGCCAGATGCCCACGACACCAGGCTCGCCCTGTGAGCACAAGCGCTACAGTTGCATTATCCACGACACTGCCACACGTTACCCCCACAGCACAGACGCTCCTCCGGGAGGCCTGGTCTCCTCACAGCGCACACCGCAGTGCCTGGCCACTCAGCCCTGCTCTAGAGACAGGGCACTGTTTACAGGATGCCCACGCGCATGGAGTTCCTTGGGAACCCTGCAGCAGCACATGCACACGTGTCACCGTCTGCCGTGTCCAGGGCACCACGGCCCAGGTGAGACCCACAGGGTGCAGACATGTTCCCGGGGGGCCCGGCCTCCCGCGGAGCCCCGCGGAGCCCAGAGGAAACGGCAGTCCTTGCTGGTTGGGTTTTGGTTTTCTGTTCTCCAGGAACATCACCAAGGAGTAAGGAACGCTTTCGGAAAGTGGATCTACTGCTTGGAAGGTTAATGCTAAGAAACCAGATCCTCAAGGCCCCTTGAGCATGCTTTTATCTTCGTTTTGCTCAGAGCGAGCAGAGGGGCTTACCTCATGCGGGGGTCATCTGGCGGCGTCATCTCCAGGTCATGGGCAGGTCCGTTCAGGCCAGTCACGTGCAGGGAGATACTGGGGTTTCCACTGCCAGCCTGTGGGGACAGGGACAGAGATGTGAACAAGCGGCTTCCCCTGTGGAAAGGGCCTCCGCTCTGCAGGCCTCCCCTCTGCAGGCCTCCACTCTGCAGGGCCTCCTCTCTGCAGGCCTCCCCTCTGCAGGCCTCCACTCTGCAGGGCCTCCTCTCTGCAGGCCTCTGCTCTGCAGGCCTCCCCTCTGCAGGGCCTCCTCTCTGCAGGCCTCCTCTCTGCAGGCCTCCTCTCTGCAGGCCTCCGCTCTGCAGGCCTCCCCTCTGTAGGCCTCCACTCTGCAGGCCTCCGCTCTGCAGGGAGGGCCTCCTCTCTGCAGGCCTCCGCTCTGCAGGCCTCCCCTCTGTAGGCCTCTGCTCTGCAGGCCTCCGCTCTGCAGGGAGGGCCTCCACTCTGTAGGCCTCCTCTCTGCAGGCCTCCACTCTGCAGACCTCCTCTGCAGGGCCTCCTCTCTGCAGGCCTCCTCTGCAGGCCTCCACTCTGCAGGCCTCCCCTCTGCAGGCCTCCGCTCTGCAGGGAGGGCCTCCACTCTGCAGGCCTCCTCTCTGCAGGCCTCCACTCTGCAGGCCTCCCCTCTGCAGGCCTCCGCTCTGCAGGCCTCCACTCTGCAGGCCTCCTCTCTGCAGGCCTCCGCTCTGCAGGGAGGGCCTCTGCTCTGCAGGCCTCCGCTCTGCAGGGAGGGCCTCCACTCTGCAGGCCTCCTCTCTGCAGGCCTCCGCTCTGCAGGCCTCCGCTCTGCAGGCCTCCTCCCTGCATGCCTCCGCTCTGCAGGCCTCCACTCTGCAGGGAGGGCCTCTGCTCTGCAGGCCTCCGCTCTGCAGTGGGTCTTAAGGAACTCCGGAGCTCAGTGCTGTGGAGTGAAATCTACGTTGAGGACAGAGAATCCAGTGGATTGGGAAGCCATGATGGGATGGAAGGATTCGGTTAGGAGAGGAGGAGGCGGGAGGGCGAGGGAGCAGGGGAGAATATTGGTCAGCTCCCGTCGCACTCAAGTCCTCCACCCAGGGGCAGGGCGCCACTCAGCTCTGTCCTTCCTTTCTCTGGGGAACGGGCGCTGGCCGGGAAGGGGCTGCGGGAGACCAGGTATTTTCTCACTCTGGGGGAGACAGGGGTCTCCTCTGCACCCCACATGCACTGGAAGTATGTCTGTTGGCCAGAATATGTTGCTTTCCTGTTCAAACTATGCAGTCCTGAGCGATCCAGCGTTGAGAGCACCTATCTCAGAGCTGACTGCAAACGGAGGGGCCTCCAACCACTTCTAGATCAGGGGACTTCTCCTGGAGGGGTCCCCAGAGACCATTCCACCTCTGGGTGGTGGAAGATCAAAGGCTGGTATTTTATGTGTGTGTGTGTGCATGAAATATACACACGTCTGTGCACACACATATACATGTGTGTTGGAGGAAAGTGGAAGTTTAGGAAGATCTGACTTGGTCCCGTTTACTGTGTTTCCAGTCGGCCCTAAACTCCCAAGTAATACAGAGTTATGTCCAGTGCAGAGCGGCTGTTGGGGAACACAGGAACCATCCAGGGCCCATCCACGTGTGTGCAGATGGCTAGTGAATCATGGAGGACAGAAAGGAGACAGACATGTGTCCCTGGAGAATGCATGTTCATCCCTGTGGACCCCACAGACAGTAACCACAAGTCTGCATGCCGGCTTTTATGGCCTGAACATGGCCTCGAGTTCAGATGCTGAGACTCTAGCTTTCAACATGATGGTGTTTGGAAGTGGTAATTAGAGACCAGGGCTTTCTGTGGCCCCACTATGTGCCTGGCAGTTTGGAAGCCAGGAAGAGACCAGGTGCACTCAGAGCCCTGCTCCAGGACTCCAGCCTCCGGAGTGGAAGCAGATTCCTGTTGTCTGAGCAGACTTATGTTGTGGCAGCCGGTGGACATGCCAGGATGTTTCTTTCCTCTCACTGTGGCTCCAGGACCCCCCGCAGACCCTGTTTCTGCACTCAGGGTATGAGGTCTCTGTGTGTGAGCTAGGCCTCAGATCCAGGGTTCTGGTGGACCCGAGGCCAGCGCTCTAGACCTGCAGAGTGGTCTGGCAGTGGGGATGCTGTGGACCAAGCTGTTCCTGGCAGAGGCCGGAGGCTGCCTCGGGGGAGGGCACAGACAAGGCACACATCTGCCTGGCTGCTGGCCTTGGCGATGTCTAGTGAAGGCGGCAGTCAGCAGCTGGCCCTGTGCGAGCACCTTCTAGAAGCCTCAGGCTTCCCTCGGTGCTCTGACCCTGAGATTTGGTGATAAAGTCATGTTTGGTTGCCCTGCCCGGACATCCAAGCTGGACCCTGGCTGTCCTTCTGGCCCTTTGGGTTGGAACACACCAGTCTTTGTCCGCTTGGGTTGCTATAATAAAGGCCCAAAGCCAGTGGCTGGTAAACCACAGGCATGAACATCTCCCAGGTCTGGGGGCTGGAAGTCCACAGTCAGAGCCAGCGTCAGGGGGCTCCTTCCTCCTGGGTGGGGGTCTTCTCGAGGGAACTGGTGCAGCAGAGATGGGAGAGGTGCTCTCGGCACCCACTCCCCACCGTGCCCAGACCCCTCCCACCCATCACCGTGGCTGGTGTGGCGGGGACACAGGCATTCAGACTGCAGCAGGGCAGTGCCCTGCCCAGGCAGGGGACCAGGGTGGATGGGAGTCCTGCCATAGCACAGCCACAACCTAAGCAGCAGCAGCAGGAACAGGGTGGGGACGGCGTATTTAGGTTTGTGCTCATGGAACTCAGACACACAACCAACGGTCCCTCTCCATTATTGAAAACACGCGGAACCAGGCAGCAACGTCAGCGGAACAGAGACCGTCGCGCGATGCCGTGAGGAACGGCTCCTCTCTCCTCTGCGCTCCACACGGCTCGTGCTCACTCGTGTGGCGACTGCCTCCACACCGGGAGTCAGCTGGGGACCCAGAATGACGTGCCTACCTTGGGGTAGTGGTAGGGCTTCACGGAGGGGTACGGGGAGCCCGTGTAGGTCGGCAGCTCCATGACAGGCACGCGGGAGTCATTGATGGTGGCGTAGGCCAGCCGTGTGCCATCGGGAGACCACCAGTGTGCGATGTGGGTCTTCAGGATCTCCTCTGGGGGGGAGACAAAGCAGAGAAGTGTGAGCAGGCAATGGGCGGGGCGGGGTGGGGCAGGGCAGGGTGGGGCGGGGCCGGAGGGGAGTGAGCGCTGGGGTCTGGGAACCAGCGGCAATCTCAGAGCCATCTTCCTTGCTCCTGGGCAGATAGATCTCTGCTCCACAGATCTGGAATAATGGGAGGCCAGACGTCAGCCCTGGCCAGGCGGCACCACGCTCAACTCCACAGGAACTGGCTGTCTGGAGCTGTTTTCTACGTCGCACAAATCTGAGCACCGGGAGCCCAAGGAATCCATGTCCCCTCCCGATGACCATTGCACGTTAGCTATCTCCTTTGATTTCCTTTCTCCCTGAGTGTGTTTTACCCATTTGCATAGAGCCCTTTCTCTGCTAAGGAGTCCTTGTGAGTTGGACTACTGTTACACAATTTGAGATTGTTATTTCAATATGACTTTCAACATGGACCCTGAGCAAGTCGCTTCCCACCGAGGCACGACCGGTTCAGACACATCCACTAAGACTGCTGGGCAAGCCCTAATCCAAGAAAGACGGCCTGGCAGAGGGCGGGGCCCGGGTGACCCAAAGGAAGGATGAGGTTCAAAGCCCATACAGGCCCCGCCCTTAAAGGGCAGCTGGATTTTGGTCAGAAAAGCCAAATGGCCCCATTGTGGAGGGAACAGAGGTGGCCAGGCGACTCCCTCACTGTTCAGCCACGAGCGGCCTTGCATCCCGTCCCTCAGACTTCCAGCTGCGGATTGGTTTTGATAGAGTCTGAAGTCAAATCCAGAAAGAGAAATTCTGGTTTTGGTTTTGAGCTGGCTATGGAGCCCAGGCTGGCCTCAAACTCGTGGCCCTTCTCACTCACGTCCTGAGTGCGGAGTTCGGGGCTACAGGGACGCACAGCACGCCTGGCCTCCGCTGTGTCATTGACAAGGCATAAACACAAGCCGGCACAGGGAATCAGCCACCCTCCTGGGTGATCCCTCGACAGGGATCGAGGTACACAAACTCACGCCCTCTACGTCTGTTGTAAAATAACAGCCAAGAGAACCGTGCAGAGGCAGCCGCTCAGCTGCCACACAGAAGTTGTAGCAAACCCTGAGAGGGCTTCGGGGACACCAAAGACATAAAATGCATGCATGTGACTCAAGGCAGGGCAGGGTCGGCGGGTCGAAGGTGGGTGGGAGGCCCACCAGAGGAGATTAAGGGGAAGGGATGTAGCAGGAAGCCCCAGGGGCCAGTCCTGGGGGGCTGCAGACATCACCAAGGTGGGGGGGGATTCACCACGGAGAGCTCAGGCTTCATTAGTGCGGACGCTGGGGCCACACGGGGCCTGGCAGAGCCGTTGGACATGGCCTGGTGGCTTTTCCTTCCTTCCCCATGTCTGGAGGCAGCTGGGGTACTGCGGGAATATGTGACCCTCCTGTGTGTCCTTGCTGTCCCAGAGCAGCCCTGCAGCCCCCACACCTGTGAGACCCTCTGTCAACTGTGAGACCCTCTGTCACCTGTGAGATCCTGTCACCTGTGAGATCCTGTCACCTGTGAGATCCTGTCACCTGTGAGATCCTCTGTCACCTGTGAGACCCTCTGTCAACTGTGAGACCCTCTGTCACCTGTGAAATCCCTGTCACCTGTGAGAACCCGTCACCTGTGAGACCCTCTGTCACCTGTGAGACCCTCTGTCACCTGTGAGACCCTCTGTCACCTGTGAGATCCTGTCACCTGTGAGACCCTCTGTCACCTGTGAGGTCCTCTGTCACCTGTGAGATCCTGTCACCTGTGAGATCCTCTGTCACCTGTGAGACCCTCTGTCAACTGTGAGACCCTCTGTCACCTGTGAAATCCCTGTCACCTGTGAGAACCCGTCACCTGTGAGACCCTCTGTCACCTGAGATACCGCCCCCCATCACCTGTGAGACCCCGTCACCTGTGAGACCCTGTCACCTGTGATACCCACTGTCACCTGTGAGACCCTCTGTCACCTGTGAGATCCTGTCACCTGTGAGACCCTCTGTCACCTGTGAGACCCTCTGTCACCTGTGAGACCCTCTGTCACCTGTGAGGTCCTCTGTCACCTGTGAGGTCCTCTGTCACCTGTGAGACCCTCTGTCACCTGTGAGACCCTCTGTCACCTGTGAGACCCTCTGTCACCTGTGAGACCCTCTGTTACCTGTGAGATCCTGTCACCTGTGAGACCCTCTGTCACCTGTGAGACCCTCTGTCACCTGTGAGATCCTCTGTCACCTGTGAGATCCCCTGTCACCTGTGAGACCCTCTGTCACCTGTGAGACCCTCTGTCACCTGTGAGACCCTCTGTTACCTGTGAGATCCTGTCACCTGTGAGACCCTCTGTCACCTGTGAGATCCTCTGTCACCTGTGAGACCCTCTGTCACCTGTGAGGTCCTCTGTCACCTGTGAGACCCTCTGTCACCTGTGAGACCCTCTGTCACCTGTGAGACCCTCTGTCACCTGTGAGATCCTGTCACCTGTGAGACCCTCTGTCACCTGTGAGGTCCTCTGTCACCTGTGAGACCCTCTGTCACCTGTGAGACCCTCTGTCACCTGTGAGATCCTGTCACCTGTGAGACCCTCTGTCACCTGTGAGGTCCCCTATCACCTGTGAGGTCCTCTGTCACCTGTGAGACCCTCTGTCACCTGTGAGGTCCTCTGTCACCTGTGAGATCCTCTGTCACCTGTGAGACCCTCTGTCACCTGTGAGGTCCCCTATCACCTGTGAGGTCCTCTGTCACCTGTGAGGTCCTCTGTCACCTGTGAGGTCCTCTGTCACCTGTGAGACCCCCTGTCACCTGTGAGGTCCTCTGTCACCTGTGAGACCCTCTGTCACCTGTGAGACCCTCTGTCACCTGTGAGACCCTCTGTTACCTGTGAGATCCTGTCACCTGTGAGACCCTCTGTTACCTGTGAGGTCCTCTGTCACCTGTGAGATCCTCTGTCACCTGTGAGACCCTCTGTCACCTGTGAGGTCCTCTGTCACCTGTGAGACCCTCTGTTACCTGTGAGGTCCTCTGTCACCTGTGAGGTCCTCTGTCACCTGTGAGACCCTCTGTCACCTGTGAGACCCTCTGTCACCTGTGAGACCCTCTGTCACCTGTGAGACCCTCTGTTACCTGTGAGATCCTGTCACCTGTGAGACCCTCTGTCACCTGTGAGACCCTCTGTCACCTGTGAGGTCCTCTGTCACCTGTGAGACCCTCTGTCACCTGTGAGACCCTCTGTCACCTGTGAGACCCTCTGTTACCTGTGAGACCCTCTGTTACCTGTGAGATCCTGTCACCTGTGAGACCCTCTGTCACCTGTGAGATCCTCTGTCACCTGTGAGATCCTCTGTCACCTGTGAGGTCCTCTGTCACCTGTGAGGTCCTCTGTCACCTGTGAGATCCCCTGTCACCTGTGAGATCCTCTGTCACCTGTGAGACCCTCTGTCACCTGTGAGATCCTGTCACCTGTGAGACCCTCTGTCACCTGTGAGACCCTCTGTCACCTGTGAGATCCTGTCACCTGTGAGACCCTCTGTCACCTGTGAGGTCCTCTGTCACCTGTGAGGTCCTCTGTCACCTGTGAGATCCCCTGTCACCTGTGAGATCCTCTGTCACCTGTGAGACCCTCTGTCACCTGTGAGATCCTGTCACCTGTGAGACCCTCTGTCACCTGTGAGACCCTCTGTCACCTGTGAGATCCTGTCACCTGTGAGACCCTCTGTCACCTGTGAGGTCCTCTGTCACCTGTGAGGTCCTCTGTCACCTGTGAGGTCCTCTGTCACCTGTGAGACCCCCTGTCACCTGTGAGGTCCTCTGTCACCTGTGAGACCCTCTGTTACCTGTGAGATCCTGTCACCTGTGAGACCCCCTGTCACCTGTGAGACTCCCTGTTACCTGTAAGACCCCTGTCACCTGTGAGATCCTCTGTCACCTGTGAGATCCTCTGTCACCTGTGAGGTCCTCTGTCACCTGTGAGACCCTCTGTCACCTGTGAGACCCTCTGTCACCTGTGAGGTCCTCTGTCACCTGTGAGACCCTCTGTCACCTGTGAGATCCTGTCACCTGTGAGACCCTCTGTCACCTGTGAGGTCCTCTGTCACCTGTGAGATCCTGTCACCTGTGAGGTCCTCTGTCACCTGTGAGACCCTCTGTCACCTGTGAGACCCTCTGTCACCTGTGAGGTCCTCTGTCACCTGTGAGACCCTCTGTTACCTGTGAGGTCCTCTGTCACCTGTGAGGTCCTCTGTCACCTGTGAGACCCTCTGTCACCTGTGAGACCCTCTGTCACCTGTGAGACCCTCTGTTACCTGTGAGATCCTGTCACCTGTGAGACCCTCTGTCACCTGTGAGACCCTCTGTCACCTGTGAGATCCTCTGTCACCTGTGAGATCCCCTGTCACCTGTGAGACCCTCTGTCACCTGTGAGACCCTCTGTCACCTGTGAGACCCTCTGTTACCTGTGAGATCCTGTCACCTGTGAGACCCTCTGTCACCTGTGAGATCCTCTGTCACCTGTGAGATCCTCTGTCACCTGTGAGGTCCTCTGTCACCTGTGAGACCCTCTGTCACCTGTGAGACCCTCTGTCACCTGTGAGGTCCTCTGTCACCTGTGAGATCCTCTGTCACCTGTGAGATCCTGTCACCTGTGAGACCCTCTGTCACCTGTGAGATCCTGTCACCTGTGAGACCCTCTGTCACCTGTGAGATCCTGTCACCTGTGAGACCCTCTGTCACCTGTGAGATCCTCTGTCACCTGTGAGATCCTCTGTCACCTGTGAGGTCCTCTGTCACCTGTGAGACCCTCTGTCACCTGTGAGACCCTCTGTCACCTGTGAGGTCCTCTGTCACCTGTGAGATCCTCTGTCACCTGTGAGATCCCCTGTCACCTGTGAGACCCTCTGTCACCTGTGAGATCCTGTCACCTGTGAGACCCTCTGTCACCTGTGAGGTCCTCTGTCACCTGTGAGATCCTGTCACCTGTGAGGTCCTCTGTCACCT